CTAGGCTCTGTTTAGCTGATGAGGTGACAAGAATAAAAGTACCAAGCTTTTCTTGATTTTCTTACCAAATAATCCTCTTAAGTATTAACCCCTCCCCACAAAAGGTAAAATTCTATTAGGCAAAATGTTTTCCTGGTTTGACATCATTTCATCAGTGTATCTAAATCATCTCCTATGCTGGTTATGGGATCAAATTATATAATGCATGCATGTTTTTAAACTTTCTTCCATAGATAGCTACCAAACAATAGTTGATAGAATAAAGCTATGCAGCTTGTTTCTCCTTTTTCTGAGAGTTCAATTTTTATCCTTGTCCTGGGTATCATTTTATGTATCATTAACGTCACCTGCTTTTCTTTTCTACAAACAAAGCTCAAACACTCCATATTCTATATCCATTCATTTGAAAAAATGCTTGTTAATGTCAAGACGCTAATGAGAAAATAGGTGTTTCTGGAACTACTGGAGCCAAAAAAAGGTTAACTTCACAGTTGAGGTATCGGTTTCCCTGCAACTAAATATTGAGTAAATAGAACTGTGCTTAGAGAAAAGGGCATGCTGACCTGAACTGCAAAGAACATTTTTTATTTCTTCCCTCACTGTCAGAATGTATCACACATGTCATGAATATAAATCTGAGTAGACCTGGGTCCAAAGTCTCTTATTAATAAGATGCTTATTCACCTTCACCAGTTTGTTTCTTTGCTAACCCTGTGTAAATCAAAAGGGGAAAGCCTTAGATTATACAAGAGAGATTGCTGCATGTTAATCTCACTTAAATTAAGTCAGAAACTCCAGAGACTTCCCTAATTCTATCTAAATTAAGGGCCTGGGCTTCCAGGACACATTTATAATGCATATGTGTCTGGGGCATAGCAAAGGGAAAGAAAAGTATGAGTTTGATGTAAACAAATGATCGAAGTGAAAAAAAAGTAAACATTCATGATCTTTTTAGTTCAATGTAGATTCATTTCTTCTCACTTCCCACTCTGCCCTAATTTCCTCTTGACTAAAACTGGTAAACCTATTTCCATTTAATTAATTTTTGAAACTATTAGTTTCAAGCTTTTTTCCCTTATGTTTAGATCATTTATTTAGTCTGATATTTCCCCACAAAGATTACTAACATTATTACCTACATAAATGTTATCACTAGCATTATTGGGACTAATTATATCTCTTTATGACAGGCAATTTGACACTCATGGAAATTACAAGAATAAGAAAAGTTAAGAGTCTTAATTTTGACTTCATAGCATGGAAAAATGATATTACTTGATATTAATAAGAATCGCAACAAACAGGTGTTCATATGTTCCCTTCATGTAATTATTTTTGACCTGTTATATTTTTCAATATGAAGAAACATTATGCAGGTAATCAGTACTATTCCTTTACTAAGAATGATGATGGTGATGATACAATTATTTTGCAATCTTACATTTGACCATGACCATGTAAACATCAATAGTGCAGATGGGAGGCTGAGGCAAACGTTCTCCTTTCTCTAATAAATCAGGGATTTCTCGTGTTGGAATTCCATCATAGGGCTTTCCTCCAAAGGTCATCAATTCCCATATAGTGACTCCTAAATTGGAAATCAAATTCTTACATGAGCATATTAACAGCATACTTTGAACAAACCAGCAATATACCAGTGGCAAAAGAATGCTCCCTAAAGGTCAGTCAAAAGAGAGTTTTTAAAAAGGCTCTTCAGATACCTTTATCCATTATGATAACTCCAATGTCAAAATCTTTGTGGAGAATTCAATTTTCTTATTATTGTCTTGGAATTTTTATCGAGTAGTAGAGAATGTAGAGTAGACATCGGCATATATATCTGTTCCCTGTTTCTACTTATAAATAATCCTAATGTTTTCAGATCCGAGATACATTTCACTACACATTACAACCCACAAAACAATGTATTTACTATATATATGTATTCAGTACCAATAAATATAATTGCAGGTAAAATCTGATATTGAGTAATTCTGAGATTAGCATCTTTACTATGAAAGCCCTAAGAGGCTAAACTGGAGTTCCAGACTAATTACCTTAGGTTGTGGTAAAGAATTGTGGCCCTCTTTTTAACTAACACAAAGAAAACAGGTAGAATAAAACTGATTAATTCCTTTAGTGCACATGAGAGTCTGAGTGAGGAACTATCCTTATGTAAGATATAATACTTGTGAAATGGGCATCCACAAAATTGAAAGAAATGAAGAATAGTTTATTCCTTACATAATAAATGACTTTCTTGAATCGCTAGAACATTAATTTTCTCTGAGAAAGCAAATATACTAAATGTTAGTATGCAAACAGTCAGTTTTGATAATAGTAATTCTGATTTAAGCAATAATACATATACTATAGATATCTTCTTTATGATATAAT